ACTGAGGGTGGGGAGGGGAGGGGAAGGGAGGGGGAAAAGAGAGAGAGAGACAGAGATTTTAAGGAGTTGGCTGATGTGATTATAGAAGCCAGGCAAGTCCAAAATCTTCAGGGTGGGCTGACAGACTGGAGATCCAGGAAGAGTTGATGCTGCAGTTCAAGTCTGAAGAGCTCCTGCTGCAGACTTCTCTCTCTCTCTTTTTAATGTTTATTTATTTTCTGACAGAGAAAGAGACAGAGCATGAGTGGGAGACAGGCAGAGAGAGAGGGAGACACAGAAGCTGAAGCAGTCTCCAGGCTCTGAGCTGTCAGCATAGGGCCCGATGTGGGACTCAGACCCATGAGCTGTGAGATTATGACCTGAGCCAAAGTTGGAGACTCAACTGATTGAACCACACAAGTGCCGCCAGGATTCTCTCTTAGGGGAGATCAGTTTTTTGTTCTGTTCAGGCCTTCAACTGATTGGGTGAGGCCCACCCACATTATGGAGGACAATCTGCTTTATCAAATTCCACAGATTTTTAAATTTTTTAAATTTATTTTGAGAGGGGGAGAAGGGGCAGAGAGACATAAAGGGAGGGAGACAGAATCCCAAGCAGGCTCTGTGCTCTCAATGCAGAGCCTGACATGGCGCTCAAACCTATGGGATTATGACCTGAGCTTAACCCACTGAGCCACCCAGGTGCCCTGTCAAACTCCACAGATTTTAGTTACTCTCACCCAAAACACCCTCACAGAAACATCCAGAATAAAGTATGACCACATATGTGGACACCGTGGCCCAGCCAAGTTGACACATAAAATGAACCATCATGGTCACTAAGGGGCAAATTTGGTGGATGGGATACAGAAACCTATTGTGGACAAAATCAGTGACTTTTTGAAATGAGACTCTTTGGTTTGATTCTTCTTTTGACCATGTCTTTTTAATTGAAATATAAGTATATTGAATATTAAAATTGACATGGAACATAATAGTTTTAAAAAAAGAACATGATAGTTTCATGTATACAACATGATTCAGTATTTGCATATATTGTGAAATGCTGACCAAACTAAGCATAGTTAACATCAATCACCACACAGTTACAATTTTGTTTCTTACAGGTACTTTTAAAAAATGTTTTTATTTATTTTTGAGAGAGAAAGAGAGCGTGAGCAGGAGAGGGGTGGAGAGAGAAGCAGACGCAGAATCTGAAGCAGGCCTCAGGCTCCAAGCTGTCAGCACAGAGCCTGATGCGGGGCTTGAACCCATGAACCGCGAGATCATGACCTGACCCAAAGTTGGACGCTCAACTGACTGAGCCACCCACGTGCCCCTTTTCTTATGAGAACTTTTAAGATTTCTCTTATCAACTTTCAAATATACAACACATTATTATTAACCATAGTCACCATGCTGTACATTACATGCCCAGGGCTTATTTATTTTGTAAGTGGAAGTTTAAATATCTTTTGGGGTGACTCTTCAAGAAAACTGTTGATTCCTAGGAAGATGTATAGTTGCTCAGAGCAGTGGCAAAATCAGTGTGTGTGGGAAACCAGCAACATCATACTTCAATAACTACCTACTGTGAACCAGTTCTGTGCTCGGCCATGTCAAGGAGAGAAGACATAACCCTATCCTCCTGCGGTTCCTGCCCAGGTGAAAAGACCCAACAAACCCATGATAAATAGTGTCCACAGCAATCCAATGAAAGAAGAGTCAGCATGAGTTGTAGTGTCCAGGAAAGCTTCCTGGAAGAGGTTCAGACCTGTTTGGGCCTTCTATATTAGGGCAAGGTCAGCTGTGAAAGGGGCGGAGAGAAAGAAATCACTGACAGCAGCTGCAGATCAGTGGCTCCAGCTGTGGGCTCTCAAGCGCCTCATCTCAGAGAGACCTGCTGGTCATTAAAAGGCGGAGTAGAAGCTTCTAAGGAGAAGGAGACGAACGGAGGTCTTTCCTTTCCTTGGGGTTTAAGGCTGGAAGAGTCCCCTCTCTGCCTCCTACTGCACACCAGAGAAAGGTAGGTTCTCTGCCCTTGGTCTCACGATCCGCGAGCAGTCGCCTCTGGGCTGAAATTGGATGTCAAGAGTAGTGTCACAAAAGTAAATCAGGAATGCTGGAAAGGTAACTAGCATAAGGATAAGAACTCCAGCAACACAGGAGAAAGCTTCTAGGGAGCAATTTACAAGTTCTGTGGCAGTGGGACCACAGGCGGGAGGAAAAGAAGTTTGTTCAAATGTAGGAAAATAAAAAATACAATGATTAAAAAGGACAGTTATGATTAAGGGCAGGCATTTATTCAGTTTCGTATTATCATCAGTGTGTTTCTGCACGTAAAGGACTTAAAAGTATTCCTCGCAGAGCCTATTGCCGTTGTTACAACCACTCTCAAAACCAACACAAATCCTACCACTCCTTAGAAGAGCATGTCATCTGGCCACTCATTATACGTTTTGTGTCTGTCACCTTCTAACTTTCTTATTCTAAGTTTCAGTAACTTCTTACTCAAGATTTTAACATCCAGGTCACTATCTTTTCCACCCTGTTTCTGTTCTCCTACTTGGGAACTTCAATATCATGGTGTAATCCGAGTTTCCTACTGTGGCCTCTCATCACTTTACATGAGCACTCTTGCTAATGTTATCTTCTCCCAGCCTTCACTTACTATTGATGGACTGATCGCTTCTATATTTGTTTCCGGCCCAAACATCTCTTCTTAGTTTCAGACTCACCTATCCAACTGGATAGCTGTACATGGGTATTTCATGGAACTCAAACTCAACTAGTCAAAATTGGAACTCTGTCTTTTTCACAAACCTAATTAATCCATTCTCATGATTCTGTTATATGGAATCCATGTCTATCCGGTCATCCGAACCATAATTTTGGGGGTCATTGCACTTTTCCCTGCACCTCTTAGAAGTCCTATCCCCTCAGTCATCACCTCCATAAACTGCACCTGTTATCCATGAGTCCAGAGCTTCCCTGGTTCCAGAGAGTAAAACTGGTGGTTAAGAGGGCAAGTCCTGGAGTAAGCATGCCTGGGTTCAAATAATGGGTTTTGACTCCTGTGTAATTTGGGGGGAGTTACTTTTAAGTTTTCTGTTTCTTGGTTTTATCATCTGTAAAATGGGTATACAATACTGCTTAGTCCATACAATTGCTATGATATGTAAAATACCTGGAACATAGTAAGTACTCAATAGCTTTTAGTGATGTTGATGATATCGAGATTGATGATGCCAGAGCATGCTGGTAGGGGCAACCACCTGGAACAAGACTGAGGAACAAGATTTAAAGGATATCACCTGCTTCTTAACCAGACTTTCAACCAAACCTTCTTTATGCAGCTCCACGCTACATCTCTGCCTTTAAAGGAATACTCGGTGCCTCCAATTCTTAAGACTTCCTAGGTTCTGAGGGACAAATTAGTTTCCTTTTTAGGGGCTTTCCCTCTGTATGTATTTCACTTTTTATGCCATTATATGGTGGCCACTAGTCACACATGGCTATTAAGCCATTGAAATGTGACTGACTAGTGCTACACCTGTTGAAATATTTTGGGTATATTGGGTTAAACAAAATGGACTAAATGAAAACTTCACCCATTTTTCACCTTTTTAATGTGGCTACTAGAAAATTTTAAATTGCATACGTGACTATCCAATTTCTATTGGATAGTGTTGTGTTTTAACAAAATGTTGACCTTTCTTGTCCCTTGTCATATTCTCTCCCATTCTCCTTAGTCTTGTAGTTGATACACTTTATCTCCTTATTTTCATTTTTGTGAGGTGTCTGGGGGAAGCAAAGATAAATGGATGTGTTCCATCTGCCATGTTGAACTGGAAGTTATATCCAAGCCTCTCACAATCTAGCTCCTGCTTATATTTGTAGTCTTATCACTTTATATTGTCAGCAACCCTGTGGCTCAGCCAAAATGAATCACTAGCAATTCTTGGAACACACACAGGCTTTCATGCCTTTGCCTTCTTTGCATCCTTTGCCTGAATACTCTAAATCCTCCCACCTGTCTAGTGACTTATTTTTCAAAAACACACTCGAATTTCACGTACTTTGAGGAGCTTGTCTTGACCCTCTCCTTCCAGTTGAGCTGACTACTCCAGAAAATGCAGAAAATATTCTGCATAGATACCTATCCCATAAGGAAACCCATCTTATACTCTGGAGTGCCATTTCCGGATTTGATACATCAGAAGAACTGAATGTTCATAAAATGCTTATTCATTTAGCTAATAAACATTAAATAATAAAGACAGTAATGGAGGACTGTGGGAATGCAGAGGAAGGAGAAGCTGAGTGGAAAAGTTTCACGAAGAGAGTGGTTTTTTTTGTTGTTGTTTTTGTTTTTTTTTTTCAGTTGTTCTATAGAGAAGTATTCACCCGGTGGAGATGGCGTTAGGAATTTTCCAGGCAGAGGGAACAGGACAAGCTAAGGCACCCGGAAAGCAAGGAATATGCTGCGGAAAGAGCAAATGATCTAGTTTGGATGTTTGGATGCAGCACTGTTAAGACCAAATCATTCAGAGCTTTCAGGGCATAGAAACCAGTCGGGTGGCTGTGCCAAGGATAAAGAGGCGTTCTTGAAAGGTTTTACGCTGTGGAGGGGGATCATTAGGCGTGCGTTTCAGCATTCGCTCCTTTGGCTACAGACTGAGAACAGCTGTGAGCAATGGGAGCTGCCTTCGGTAAGGGGACGGACCGACGGACGGACGCAGCCACGCAGTGAGCGGGATGCGCAGAAGGCCGGGACCGCCAATGCCCCGGGTCCGAAGGACGCGCCCCTGGGCGTGGGACGTGGAGAGGGAGGAGTTTCCAGTTGGCAAAGACGGGAGGCCGCGGGTGCGACTACGGAGGCCGCGACCGCGGTGCGGGGGCCTGGCGCACTTGTCCCTCGCGCGTCGCCGTCCGCGCAGCCCCGGTTCGGTCGGAGGAGGCCGCCGGCGCTGCGGTTCCGGTTCCGGCTGGCGTCGGCACCTGTGGCGAGGGCGGTGGCCATGGCGTACTCCACCGTGCAGAGGGTGGCCCTGGCCTCGGGGCTCGTCCTGGCTGTGTCGCTGCTGCTGCCCAAGGCCTTCCTGTCCCGTGGAAAGCGGCAGGAGCCGCCGCCGGCGCCGGAAGGTGAGCAACCGGGCTAGCTTCCCCTCAGTCTGCGAAGAGCACTGCTGCACTGAGGGGTGCTCCAGGTCTCCTCGAAAGGGCTAGAGAGGGCGGACCTGGCGGCGTTTGGGAGGTGCCAAGCCCCTGCGGGTCCCTTGGCGTCAGCGGACGACTCCTCCCGCTCTCTGGTCCCTTCGACCTCCTGACGCAGGAAGGGCCGGGAGTGCTGGCGTTCGCGCGCGCCTGGGCACCCTCTCGGTGGCCCGTCGCACACCCGTTCGAAGCTTTCCCCCTTGCCCTCACTGCCTTAACCCAGCTGTCGCCATCTGCCCAGGTGCTTTGAGTCAGGAGGGCTTCCACTTGCATTCCCCTCTCGGGGGTTTCCGTGTGCTTTCTGTCGTGCTTTTACATAAAGTCAATTGATATCGGTGTGGTTAGCCTTAAGTCGTTGTGTACTTCCACCGCACCGCTTGAGCCTGTTTTTGTGCCTTTTTAAGTATAATTTGAAATTTTTAACTCAAATTTCAGTTACTGAGATGAACAGATTACTACTTTCCCCTTACTTAAATTGTTTGGTAATCCTTTGTTATTGGCATGATCTTTTGTGGTGTTTACAAACCCACCGTGTTGGTTGCTTTCAGGGGCTTTTCCATAATGACTGTAAAGGGATGGATGTCCAGGTTGAGAGAAGGGACTAGAACAGTTCTCTGTAGGTCTTGAAGTTCTAGGAACTTTCTCCTGTAAATAATCTCTGTAATACCCTTGAGGATGGTTTTATAGTCTCCAGACACTTGCACTAATATTCAGCCCTTGGTGATTGGACAGCTCCTTTTGAACTGAGATCCACTTCCCTGTTATTTGTGCACACTGACTATATAGTTCCACTCTCTTGCATATCATAAATTAGAAATACTATAGAATGCAAAGCACTAAATTCTAGGGGTGGAGGACAGATTGAACCCAGAATTCTCTTGATAGAATTTGCTTGATAAACTTTATGCTTGTAAAACTATCTACCTGGAAGAGACTTCCAAAAAATTATCACATTATTTTTTTTCTTTCTATCTTGTTACAAAATCCTAAAGGTTTTGCTCACTTTGTCTAATGATCCTGTCTTGTCTGCCTTGAAGATTAATTCATGATGATCTTGAGCAGTAAAGATTCTTCTAAAATGGTATTTCACTGAACTGAATTCCATTATGCTGAATTATCTTGAATAAGTTCCATTGAATGTGAGTGGGAGATCCTCTTATACATGTTGTGGAGAGATTAAATGTGGCTCTTTCCCTTGAGAACTCAAGAGCTGATATTCAATGTTGTCATCTTAGAGATGAGAACACTTTCTGTTCTCCTTATTCCCTGGAATGTTCTTACCTCACCTTCCTTCTCCTTACTCAAGTTTCAGCTCAAATGTAATCTCCTCAGAGAGACTCTCCCTAGCTAAGACAACTCCACCCGAATCACTTCCTAGTCCTTCATGTTGTTTTATTTTCCTTTTTGAAGGAATTACTATATGGTATGAAATGTTCTTATTTGTTTACTCACTTTTTTTCTGTTTCTACTTTCGAGTATGTAAGCTTCATGAAGGCGGGGACTTTGTCTTGTCTACCACTAACTACTTCATTTAGCATTTAGCTAAAATGGCAGTCAATAAATAACGTGAATAAGTTAAGTTCATGAAGCTACTAATATTGTGAATTCTGTTTTTGCATTAGTTACTAAGAGTATAATCTAGGCAAAAACTTACCTTGAATGATCTAGGTCAGTAACTGAAATTTTGCTAACTAAAACCTCTGCCCTTTTATGGACCTAGAGGGTATTATGCTAAGTGAAATAAGTCAGGAAGACAAATACCATATAATTTCAACTATATGTGAAATGGAATCTAAAACATTAAACAAATGAGCAAACAGAAACAGACCCATAAACCTAGAGAACAAACTGATGATCCCCAAATGGGAGGGGTGGGGGAGGGAATGGGCAAAACAGATGAAGAGGAGTGGGAGGTACAGGCCTCCAGTTTTTAAATTAATAAGTCACAGGATGAAAGTACAGCACAGGTGTTATAGCCAATGGTGTCACAGGGCTGTGCAGTACAGATGATAGCTGCACTTGTGAGCATAATAATGTATAGAGTTGTGGAATTACATTAGTTTCAGGTGTATGACATAGTAACATTGTATGTCAACTAGACTTCAAAAAAAAATTAATTAAAATCCTCACACCGGTATGTCACATTTTTCAACGTTTATTTATTTTTGGGACCGAGAGAGACAGAGCATGAACGGGGGAGGGGCAGAGAGAGAGGGAGACACAGAATCGGAAACAGGCTCCAGGCTCTGAGCCATCAGCCCAGAGCCTGACGTGGGGCTCAAACTCCCGGACCGCGAGATCGTGACCTGGCTGAAGTTGGACGCTTAACCGACTGCGCCACCCAGGCGCCCCATGTCACATTTTTAAAATAGTGATTTCAGGGTGCCTGATTGGCTCGGTCCCTTCAGTGTCTGACGCTTGATTTTTGGCTCAGGTCATGGTCTCCTAGTTTGTGGGTTCGAGCCCCATGTTGGGATTTGTGCTGACAGCATTGAGCTTGTGTGGGATTCTCTCTCTCCTCTCTTTGCCCCTTCTTTGCGTGCTTGTGTGAGCACACCTGCTCTCTCTCAACATAAATAGACATTAAAAAAGTAAAAATAGCCATTGCTATTGGTGATAATGCTGCTGTTAACATTGGAGTGCATGTACCCCTCTGAATCTGTATTTTGTATCCTTGGGGTAAATACCTAGTAGTAAAATTGCCGGGTCATAGGGTAGTTCTATTTTTAGTTTCTTGAAGAACCTCCATACTGTCCTCCAGAGTGGCTGCACCAGTTTGCATTCCCAGTAGCAGTGCAAGAGGGTTCCCCTTTCTCCACATCCTCACCAATACTTGTTGTTCTTTGTGTTAATCTTAGCCATTCTGACAGGTGTGAAGTGATATGTTACTATGATTTTGATTTGTATTTCCCTGATGATGGGTGTTGTTGAGCATCTTTTTATGTGTCTCTTAGCCAGCTGGATGTCTTCTTTGAAAGAGTGTCTATTCATGTGTTTTACCATTTCTTAACTGGGTCCATTTTGTTTGTTTTTTGGGTGTTGAGTTTGAGAAGTTATGGATTTTGGATACTAATCTTTTACCAGATGTGCTGTTTGCAAATATTTTCTCCCATTCTGTAGGCTGCCTTTTAGTTTTGTTGATTGTTTCCTTTGCTGTGCAGAAGCTTTTCATCTTTGTGGATTTTTTAATGTTTATTTTTGAGAGAGCATGAGCAGGGGAGGGGCAGAGAGAGAGGGGAACAGAGGATCTGAAGAGGGCTCTGCGCTGGCAGCAGTGAGCCCCATGCAGGGCTCAAACTCATGAACCATGAGATCATGACCTGAGCCAAAGTCAGATGCTCAACTGACTGAGCCACCCAGGTACCCCCAGAATCTTTAATCTTGATGAAGTCCCAGTCGTTCATGTTTGCTTTTGTTTTCCTTGCCTTCAGTGATGTGTCTAGTAAGAATTTGCTCTGACCGAGATCACAGGTTGCTGCCTTTGTTCTCCACTAGGATTTTGATGGTTTCCTGTCTTACGTTTAGGTCTTTCGTCCATTTTGAGTTTATTTTTGTGTATAGTGTAAGAAAGTGGTCCAGTGTGTCTTCTGCATGTCGCTGTCCAGTTTTCCCAACACTGTTTGCTGAAGAGACTGCTTTGTTGAAGATTAGTTGACCCTATGGTTGTGGGTCCATTTCTGGGTTTTCCATTCTGTTCCATTGATCTATATGTCTGTTTTTCTGCCAGAACCATACTGTCTTGATGACTACAGCTTTATAATATAGCTTGAAATCTGGAATCATGATACTTCTAGTTTTATTTTTTTCAGAATTGCTGTGGCTATTCAGGGTCTTTTGTGCTTCCATACAAATTTTAGGATTGTTTGATCTAGCTCTGTGAAGAATGCTGGTGGTACAGGTATTTTGATAGGGATTGCATTAAATGTGTAGATTGCTTTGGGTAGTATAGACATTTTAACAGTGTTCTTCCAATCCATGAGCATGGAATGTTTTTCCATTTCTTTGTGTCCTCTTCAGTATCTTTCACAAGTTTTCTATAGCTTCCAGAGTACAGATTTTTTTTTTTTTTTTTTTTTTTTTTTTTTTTTTTTTTTTTTTTTTGCCTCTTTAGTTAGGTTTATTCCTAACTATCTTCTTGTTTTGGGCACAGTTGTAAATGGGATTGGTTCCTTGATTCCCTTTTCTGCTGCTTCATTACTGGTGTATAGAAATGCAACAGATTTCTGCACAGTTGATGTTATATCCTATGACTTTGCTGAATTCATCTATTCTAGCAATTTTTTGGTGGAGTCTTTTGGGTTTTCTACATAGAGTATCACATTGTCTGCAGAGTGAAAGTGACTTCTTCCTTGCCAATTTGTACGTCCTTTATTTCTTTTTGTTGTCTGATTGCTGAGGCTAAGACATTCAGTACTATATTAAATGGTAATGGTGAGAATGGGTATCCTTGTCTTGTTCCTGATAGTAGGAGAGAGGCTCTGTTTTTCCCCTTTAAGGATATTAGCTGTGGGTCTTTGGTATATGGTCTTTATGATATTGAGGTGTGTTGTATCTATCCCTACTTTGTTGAGGGTTTTTATCAAGAATGGATGCTCAAACTTTCTGCTGTCAGTGTGGAGCTGGCTTAGGATCCTCTGTCCCCCAGTCTCTCTGCCCCTCCTCTCTGCTTGTGCACTTGCTCTCAAAATTAAACATTAAAGAATTCATGGGGCACTTGGGTGGCTCAGTTGGTTAAGCGTCTGAGTTCGGCTCCGGTCATGGTCTCATGGTTCATGAGTTCAAGCCCAGCATTGGGCTCTGTGCTGACAGTGCAGAGCCTGGAGCCTGCTTCAGATTCTGTGTCTCCCTCTCTCTCTCTCTGTGCCCCTCCCTCGCTCACGCTCTGTCTCTCTCACTCTCTCAAAAATATTTAAAAAAAAAAATCATGC